AGGCTGGTTCTTAGCGTGTTATGGCAGGCTACATAGGAACTAAAAGTGGCGCCGTCAGTCTCTGTCAGGCGCACCGTCCACTAAACCACTCACTGGTCCTGTCCTCTAGAGGGCCACCTACCTACCTAGCTACTAGTGACGGGACCTCAAAGTGTGATGAGCAAGGTCAGGGCAGGGTACTGAAGGTTCACTGTTACGCCCGATTCAAACCTAGATTCAGGTGTACCTGAGTCCCCTGTTTGTGGTGAAGCAAACTCCACCTCACAATCGACAATACTGTTGTTGCTCGTACAAGATCTAAATAAACAACATTTTTCCCAGATCGATTCTCTTTTATCAGGAAGATGATTTGTCGTTTAAGTTAATCTGCCTTCCCGTTGCATATTTCCAGGCGAATGGCAGATGCTGTGTCGCCGGTTTGTCCATGACCCGTTCAGTACCTAGGCAGGTAGCAAATGCAAATGCAAAGCGCCTATTGTTTAATTCCATGTGCATACGCCCTAGACTTTGGGACTGCTAGAGCAAATCAACACTGAGAGCTCCATAGCTGTACGGATACGGAAATACTTAATCTCAGGTACCCTCAGGTAGCGTCATCCAATCTCATATGTATGCACGGAAATGGCATCGCACGTACCACACGCTCGCCGCTCGCTAGATTTTGAATCTGATAATTAATTCATCAATCACTTGAACTTGCTCTGGCTCTGGCTCCAGCTGTCTTGTAAGTCGTAGTAAATCCCAGTTTGCTGAATACATGCTGCTGCACAGCAATCAAAGACAATATTAGCCAGAGACTTGGCAGAGAAACAAGCCCTGCACGTCGTGGATCTTCTCATCTCGCAAAATAATCCACAATTAAACAATGCCCAAATCATATCCTTTGTGTGCGCAAAGAGTGAATCTCAATATCCCGGCTGCAATAGCTACATACCAAATGACATACTAACCATGTACAGAACAAACGAGACCCATGCTCCGGTCCCATTCAGGGTCTTGAAGACGCCGCTTGCTTTTTCCCGTCTCTTTTCGATGGTTCCTTTGTTGGTACATACATAGACCTCTAGACCTCCTCTGCAATGAGCAGAGCGTTGGACCGGGGTTTGCGATAGTGTCTTGTCGGTTTTCGTATTCCGCAAATCAGCTGTTGTGTCTTTATTGGGATCGGTATTTGCCCTTGTAGACAGATTTCATGTGCCACAATCTCTATGGTCGGTCCTTTATGAGTCCATTGTAACGTTGAGTTCTGTGTAACAGAGACTATCATTATCCTAAGTGTTGGGTTGGCTGCTGTAACTCGAAAACTTACTATGTGTACCTGCTTACACTGTATAATCATATCTTGGGGCTTGGGAATTGGAATGCAGTGAGCAATTTACCATTGCTCGAATCGACCCCTGGCGACTAAAGTGAAGTAGTCTACGGTAGGGAAAATGTTGGAATGTTCCATGGCTCAAACAGATTCTATCCATCTCTGTGTGGGTGATTGGTCTGATGAGAGAAGTCCAGTTTAATTATAGCAACATCGTGAAACGAGAAGACTCGCGTACTCTGATCTGTAACGTTGATAGGTCTTGTCCATGTGATAGCGCATCCATTCATCCTGCAGCAGTGCAATCATTCGGCACGTATTGTCGGTTCTTTGATCACTATGCTCACTCGTCCGCAACAGTACAGGGAACTATCATTGTCCTGCTGGTCTCCAGTGGTAGACGGACCTTGTTTTTGCATCCGATGCATCCAATGGTTGCAATTGAAAACAGCTAAGACGGGTTACACGGATGCTGATGTTACTGTGGTCCAGGGATGGCCCTTTTCAGCCTCTACATGCTTTGTCGTTAACACAACGCTTTGAGTTTGGACGACAGGTGGCTTTTTGTTTTCCTGCATAATGGCAGATCAGTGTGACTACCTATGAATACTCGGGTAAGTTGCCTGGACAAGTAGTGTAGTCTACCAACATACTAATGTATGAAAGCTGGTCGGCGACAATGAAATTGAATATTATGCTAGGTAGGGAATATTTTCCCTTTCTTTGACCTGCCCACTACCTATCTAGCTGTGAGTTGGGTATACTTTCCGTCCTATCTTCCACATCCAGGTATTCTGCTCCTCTCTGAACGATAGCTTGCATGATCTATCATATCCTACACTTGAGCTTCATCTGCCAACCCTTCTCAACTCACAGTAAACCATCTCCCACATGAGGCTCCACATCACGTCGGACAAGCAAACCAACCTGATAAGAACACATCATAGCTTTCTCAAAAACATGATGTTGCAGATCTCGTATCATGTTGGCTGTAAATATCTCACTCACCAGCGAACAATTTACCCTGGAGAGAGGGGCAGATCAGTCACCACTATCGATCCGCAGAATCTCTCCGGGAATTACTCCGTGAAGGCTATTAAATAGAATAACAACTACCGATGTCGTTCTGCTCGTCAACTCGCTGTAAAAATTGTCTCACGACAGAGCTTAACGAGACGCTGTGTGACAGCACATAACACCCTGCAGTTCGACGCCAGCTTCATTCGAGCCTCTTTACGGGATTGGCGCTGTTGCATATCATCTTTGCGCTGTATACGACCTGTCGATACACCCGTGAAAGTGCACGGTACTGCCGAAGAAAAGTGGCTTGAATTGGTTCATCGTGAGTTGATGTTTGATCACGAGCGGCCGTCTCACGTGCTGAGAGCCCATGTGGGAGTGTATATAACTAACAGGCTGCAGACTATATTACCGTAGCGCCCTCCAGAGCCAGCATCAACCCAGCTCTCTGTAATCATGGGTAGCACGGATCAAAGTTTGCGAGCCTGGTGGAAAGAGAGCTCGGTGTATCAAGTGTACCCTGCTTCTTACCAAGATTCCACCGGCTCTGGTGTTGGAGACCTGAAGGGCATCATCTCTCGAGTTGATTACCTCAAAGACTTGGGGGTCGATATCGTATGGCTTTCACCAATCTTCAAGAGCCCCCAGGTTGATATGGTGTGTCACCACCTTTCCTTCCCCCTTCCTAAAAAGCAGAAATATTGCACCGTATATTAACAAACCTTAGGGGTATGATATCAGCGACTATTACACAATCGACCCTCCATATGGTGATGTCTCAGATGTTGATGTCCTCAAGGACAAGCTCCATGAACGAGGCATGAAGCTCGTTCTCGATCTGGTCATGAATCACACCAGTGATCAGCATGAGTGGTTCAGGGAGTCTCGAAAGTCCAAGGACAACCCTTATCGTGATTGGTATATCTGGAAGCCTGCAAAGTACGACTCCGAAGGAAACAGACACCCTCCCAATAACTGGGACGCTCATTTCCAAGGTGAGCACGCAGAGGCTTTTCATTATGAGTGTCCCGGCTAACGAATGTATAGGAAGTGCCTGGGAGTACGACGAAACCACAGATGAATACTATCTCTGCCTCTTCTGCAAACAACAGCCAGATCTTAACTGGGAGAACCCAGCAGTCAGAAAACAAGTTCATGATGTCATGCGCTTCTGGCTCGACAGAGGCGCCGATGGTTTCCGCATGGATGTCATCAACTTTGTCAGTAAGGACCAGGCATTCCCTGACTCCGATAAGACTGTACTTCGTGGTCATGAATTCTACGCTTGTGGTCCCCGATGCCACGAGTTTCTCAAAGAGATTGGTGCTATTCTGCAAGAGTACGATGCTTTCAGCGTGGGTGAGATGCCCTGTGTGCACGATGAGCGTGAGTTGATCAAGGCTGTCCGTGGTGACCGCGGAGAGTTGAGCATGATTTTCCACTTTGAGTTGTAAGTCAAGGTTTCCAACGTCAGATGTATAAAATTACTGATCAACTCGCAGGATGGATCTCGATCATGGTGTTGGCGGCAAGTTCACACCTAGATCATGGGACCCTTCTGAGCTCAAATCCACCACTCTCAAGTGGCAGAAGTTCATGTACGACAATGAAGGCTGGAACGCCCTTTACTTGGAAAACCATGACCAGCCAAGGGCTGTCAGTCGCTTTGTCCACGATGACATTGAGCATCGGGTTAATAGTGCGAAGCTTATCGCCATCTTCCTAGGTTTCCAGTCGGGCACCCCCTTTATTTACCAAGGACAGGAGATCGGAATGACCAATGTCCCTAAGGACTGGGGCTTGGAAGAATACAAGGACCTTGACTGCCTTCGGCATTGGGAGTAAGTCAGAGAATCCAGCTGCTAAACACATTTCACTGACATCTCCCTTAGTCTTCACAGAAACGATGATGAGGAGGCTCGAAACACCTACAAGGTTGAGTATCAGAAGAAATCTCGTGACAATGCCCGAACTCCCATGCAATGGGATGCAAGCCCCAACGCTGGCTTCACCACTGCTGATGCTAAGCCTTGGATGAGAGTCAACGATAACTACAAGGAAATCAACGCTGCATCCCAGACTTCAGACCCCAACTCTGTGTATAGCTGCTATCGCAAAGTTCTGCAGAGACGAAAGGAGTTCCTGGACATATTTGTGTATGGAAACTTTCAACTCGTTGACGAGTCCAACGAGAAAGTCTTTGCATACTCACGAACGGCCGACAACGGAGAGACTGCTCTCATCGTATGTAACTTCACAACCGATGCAGTTGCGTGGTCTTTACCTGGCAAGACTCGAGAGGTGCTGGTCAGCTCTACTGGAAGAACAATTGAAGAGTTAAACAGTGGTGAGACCAAACTGGCACCTTGCGAAGCCTTCGCGGTCTTGCTCGAGTAGGATAAGCTGAAGACGGAGTCTCGCAATCGATTCGATTGCCATAGGAGTGGACAATGTCGATATCGGCCAATTGATAGAGCTAAATCAAATCGTGAATTCATTCACTCTTGGAGTATAAAAGCCTGTGACACGAAGAGGGTTGAAAGCAAGACGAAGACATGCATTCTCATTACCCAGCGGTTGATATTGGCCGAGTATCTATTCATACAAGATACATAAACCACTCCTCCTCCCGCTCTATTCGTGTAGATTTGTCCATTACACCGCCGCTCTAGTCCTGTCGTCCCTTTAGTAATCGCTTGGTGACCTTGTCCTTCTCGATAATGTAAACGTGAGCACCCCAGCCTGAAAGGGCATCACGGTCAACAGCGTTGAGCAACGACTGAGAGATGGTCTCAAAGAGGGCATCGGGTTCCTGTAAGTAATACTATCAGCATTTCGCTCTTGAGCGGAGCAGCAGCCGAACTCGGACGATGTATAGCTGCTTTGTCATTATTTGCATACCAGATCAGGCTCCCAGAGACCCTCGCACATGCCAAAGAGCTGCTCCGAAGCGGTGCCAGAGACAATGAAGTCCTTAGCAAAGTCGATACAGCCAATACTATCGAATCCACAGATAAAAGGCTTGCCAGTCTTAGGATCAAGACCAGCAACAACAGGAGACACAAAGTAAGGTCCAAAACGGCGCTCGTAGAGAGATGAGGAAACGAGGTTGGCAAAGGTTCGAGGGGCGATGGAGCGCTCCTCACGCAGGCGATACATGTTGACCTTGTAGCGGAAGAGGTCGCTCACGGTGTTGACATCGGTAGCCAGGCCAGTGAGACCTAAGAAGACGTCGCCGTACTGGAAGATCTTGGGGAAATTGTTGGACACAGTAAGAGCCTGGAGACCGAGGCGAAGATCGCATGCGATAGCGACACAGTCCTTTCCGACCATGGCGACACAGGCTCCGCCGTCTGGAAGAGGGATGTTAGTTATGGATGAAGGCTGGTATAATGGCAGGCGACCGAGACGAACTTATCGAGAAAGGAGAGGACTATTGATTGGGTTGCATGGTTAGCTTAGTGTAAAAAAGAGATTGGCTTGCCGGAGGTCAACTTACCATAATGACTTCTTGAAGGTAGAAAGGTAGATGCGAGGTCGGGGAATCGACGTCAACCAGCGGCCGTCTTATCGAGAGGAACTCGGGAACAAGGAAGGCGGTGATTCGTTATGCGAAGCCGTAAACTTTGCAGTCGCTAATTCGTATCGTATCTTCGCGTCGTGGGGTTGTAGAAGAGAAGCTGGCGTGGAGTGGATGGAGTGCGAGTTGGACAGTTGAAGCTCCCGTCACTGGGCTGGAGCTACAGAAGGTGCAGTGCAATGAGGTTGCTGCTAAGGTCCGTGGTACGTACAGGCGGGCTGCAAGGCAAACACGGTCTGGCGTGGCCGGGCAGGCAGGTCCACGTCTGCCCAGGTGTTAGAGCAGCCTAGGTACCTCTAGGTACAACCTAGTTGTGGCGGCTGAGGCTCAGTTATTTGAATTACGTAAGCGAGCATATAGTCGACTTTGAAATCGCAGTTGGAGAAGAGAGGAATGATTAGAACAAAACAGCTATTTCAGACTCTAGTAGCTAATTCACACAAGTTTTCATTTGTTTCAAATGGCCGTATAGGGATGCCGTAAAAGTTTGAGCACTCGAAACTCCCGAGAACTTTCTAGGTGAAATACACAACATTCCTTTAAAGGTAAACAATGGTTTAGAACAATGCGCATACCTTGGTTTAGTATCAAACAGCAGATTTTGCCTAAGCGTGGGTCATTATTTGTTTAATGCTCTTATTGAGAGGGGGTTTGAAATTTCCGTTTTCACCTAACCCAGGTGCTTGAGGTTGGGAGGTTCATTTAGAAGCTTCTAGTAGCTCAGAGAGTTATTCGAGGTGCTCCCAACCCGTGGCTGGCTGCCTGCTGGAGCTGTCTCTTGGTAGGTACTGAGGTAGCTGAGATCGCCCTACGTAGTACTACCTCCATACGTAACCCCGCTGTTGACCACTCGACTCACACACACTGGCTGCTTACATCACTGCCAACCGAGCTCAACATCCATCCCCAGTGATCATCCTGTCCTTTATTAACGAATTCATGTTAGTCTAATACAGGTGCGGCTTCAACCCTACACCTGATCTTCTTATTACCTACCTACACCTTCTGAAGAATGGCGACCAACGTCGTGGTGATAGCCACCGACCTACGGCGAGCTACTATCAAAGTCAACCCTGGAACCTACCTTATTGATGTATTGGAGGAAGCTTGCAGAAGACTCAACCTTTCTAGTGATAAATATCTTGTCAAGTAGGTACCACATGCTCGAGCTAGGCTCTTCCGCTGAGCAAGTAGCTAACGAGATTAACGCATAGACACCGACAAAAAACAGTGGATTTATCTGTCCCCTTCCGAACGTCTGGTCTGTCACCAGGCGGAAAACTTGAACTTGTCCAAAAGTCGAAAACACCTTCTGCTATCCAAGTCGCCCTCCAAGTTCCTCCACCCGAGGGTCGCGAAATACCCGGTGGCCGTTTGATTCAAAAGTTCCCCAGCGATCTCACCATATGGAAGGTTCTCCGCCAGTTCGAAAGCGGAGAGGCCAGCAATGGAAGGAACATCAATATTACCGGCCGCGGAATCGCGCAAATGAGTGGTGATACAGGGAGCGGTGGTGGACAGCTTTACTACGAAACACCGGTTCTCAACATTATGGGACGAGAGCTTGCAACCTTTGCCGATTTCCAGAAGACCCTATCGCAACTGGGATACAACTCAGGGAGTGTCCTGATTCGATTGGACTACCGAAAGACAGACAAAACACTTTACGATGCAATGACAGAAATTGGCCAGTTCTTCAAAGACACCGAAGATGAAGACCTGAAAGCAGAAGCTCCAGCTGCAAAGGTAGAGATAGCCGCAGAACAAGGGACACAGAAACCAGAAGAGCAAGCCCAAAGGGAGACACAGGACTCGCAGATGACGGATGATCAAGTAGAACAGACACATGAGCCAGCCCCCATCCAACAAGAAACAGGGCCCAAGGCTACTGATGAGGATGACATGGACATTGACTCTTCTCGGCCCGGAGATCCTCTGGCACCCATCAACGTTTTCCTTGCCCCTTCAGGATCAACGCCTGCTGCAGCCTTAGCTCCCGCTAACGACGCTGACTTTGCACCTACAATCGCTCATGCGCAACTCCATCAAGCTCGGCTTCAGGGGGATTCGAGGAACAGGCGTCTACTATCAGATCGTGAATTGGAAGAGAAGGCTGCTGCAGAGGCCGCAAGGATCAACGCAATCAAATCTATTCTCGTCAAAGTTCGATTTCCGGACAACACAAGTAGCGACTGGGAAGTAAGTCCCTCTCACAGTGGCCAGTTCCTCTACGATGCTGTTCGGCATGTTATGGCCCATAACAATCAACCTTTCCATCTTGTTCTTCCTGGGACCAAGATTGTGATCAAAGACGATCCCAGTCCCAGCAACGGATTGATCAAGGCGTATAAACTATCTGGGCGCACTTTGATCAACCTGGTCTGGGACGATGCTGTACCATCAGCCGTGCGGAAGGAGCCATTTCTCAAGGCCAACATTGCTCAAAAGGGCCAGCAGGTCAAGGTGCCTGAGCTCATCGCCTCGAATGATCAAGAAGAGGAAGTACCTGTTACTCGGCCAGCACAAACAGAGAAGGGCGAGAGCTCAGGAGAGAAGACTGGCAAGAAGATACCCAAGTGGCTCAAGCTGGGCAAGAAATAGACAATAGTGGCAGTTTAGAAACGTTGAGGAGTTTGCATTAACTATCATTGGTGGCGTTGATTTAAGGTAGCTTTTTCAGAGCGCAAAACAGCGAAATCCATAGGTCATGAATACATATTGCATTCAACGGATGTAAATTCGAAAATGAAGGAGAGGCGTCACTCATCACGAAAGACAGACTGGAACATGGCTTGATCATTACGCCATAACTCTCTTGAAAGTGTTGGTATTCCGTTGATCCGCAGCTAAATCCCTGCCACGGAGCGTCCAAGCCGTTAATTTTTTTTTAATCGATCAAATCGTGACCACGCCAATCCATGCGAACCCCGTTCGGTGCCAGATTCCCAAAAATCAGATCAAACCGAGTTGATTTAGTGACCAGTACGGCGGGCCTCAGCGATGACGCGCTGGAGCTCGTCAACCTTGGCCTTGGCACGACCGAAGGTACCGAGCTACGATGCGAGTTAGTACTTATATCGTGGGGTGATTGCGGTATCTGGGTTTGACATACTCTCTTCTTGGCGAGCTTACGGGCACGCTTGTCCTTGGAGTTGCGGAGCAACTCAATGACTCGGCGCTCGTAGGGGGCAAGGCTGTGAGGAATGGTGGTTAGCAAAAAGATCGAGCACATATTTGAAAACTCCTCCAGTGGATAGGGTATATGCTGGCGACTAGGCCTTGAACTCGCGGCGCAAATGCCACGCCCAGCATCCCCCATCCATCGCCTTCCAATACAAGCTCTGATCCCAAAAATAATTATCTGACTTACCCAGCAACCTCCTTGACGACCTCACGGACGAAAGCGGTGCGCTTGCTCAGGTGACCCTTGGTTCGGGAAACACGGGGCTTGACGACACGGGGAGTGGTTTTCTGTAATATCGGCGACAAATGTCAGCGTCCATCGTCTGCTAGTTCGGTGGTTGTCGAGCCCTCATCCGTCGCGAAGGCGAAGACAAAGCAGAGATCCTCCACGAGGTGAGACTGCGACAGAAAGACGTACGTGACCCTTGTTGAGGCCGACGGCCAGGCCAGATCGAGCGGTTTCAGCGGCCATTGTTGCTGGATGGGTTAGTTGGATCGTGAGGTGACGAGAATATTTCCAGCAGGATCAGAAAAGACGAGGGGATCTTTAGCTTAGCTTAGTACAAAATTTGCAAATCTGTGGGTCACGTGCTGAAGGGTAACCGGAGTTTGCATTTTGTGCGAACCCCCCACATCAACCTGGAAGTGGCATTTGATGGCGGGTGGATCTATCTGATGTGTGAGACGACGGCTCATCAGAGCTTAGAAGAGGACTACCTATCCGTAGACTAGACTAACACGGATATATAAAAATGAAGAACAGCACTTGGCATCATGAACCGTCAACTGTGAGTTTCAAACATGACTTGACTCTTACGAGAAACAATGATGCTGATCATGCCCAAATCAAACGGATATGGCATCATGTCTTGAGGGCTAGGGTTAACATTATAGAAAGTCTTTGCCTTTTCATACTCAATCCCATATGGCCCAGAATCAGCATGAATATCTATCCACTCAGCCTTATCCAGCAACAGGCCATGTTCATAGAGGTGCTGTATGATCTTGGATGCCTCCAATCCACAAAGGAGGTCAAATAAGGTACGACGATACTTTGTGCATTGAGATCGACAACCGAGTCTCCAAGGGATCATCCTCCAATCTTCCTTGTGTTAAAGCGAAACACAGAAAATGTAACCAGTCTGCCAGCAGAACTTGGAAATTCATCGCTTCTCAGTCCAACGCTTTTGCACGAAGAGATCACGTTTCTATTCTTGTGTTACCCAACAGCAACAGCTTTGTAGCTAAGAATAACTTGACGCCGCTCAGACGCTTGCTTGTGTTATAATATCGTAAACAATGAGTTGGCCATGGATATTCCATAATAATAAACATCTGAGGCTCCGACCCAGCAAACATGAAACACGATCGACATCCAATCAATTGCACTGCCTGGTAGTTGGATCCTCGCCTCCGATCCCTTCAACTCCATGTCTCCTTGCGGACGTAGAAGGATCTGCGGGTGGAATTGTATTGCATTGCACAACAGCGCTGGAATCTAGAGCAGGCCCGATTTAATGGGTTACTAGGCCGCGTGTTCGGTAAAGCAAGGAGAAACCACTCGGAGCGGTTGATGCTCTGACGTCGTGTTCTCCATATGGCTTTTGATGGACTTATAAACTACCTGCTTCGCTAGTCATGTCTTGAGTTGAAAATCTGCTGTTTGGCAACATCAAACTTCAAGAATTAACATACCTTTGCTATCTAGGTATACAACCTCTCACTTCGTACCAAACACACATACTGCATTCCTCGAATACTCTCACGATGCAATTCGGACTTTTGTTTCTTTCTGCTTTGCCCGCAACTTGGGCCGCACATCTCTACGCAGTTCCCCAGAGTCTTTCTCTTCTCGAGACCAGTGCTGAAGATAATGGCTGCACACTACCCGATACCTACCGCATCTGGAACTTCAAGGCAGAGTCTAAAGACAGCGGCAAGACACTCAGTGGATTGGACTTTGTATTCTTCGACCAGGACACCAAACTGACGACCCCTTGCCATAAGAACGCTTCCTCAAAGGCCATTACGGGGTTGGGAGGCAGAGATCGTTTTGCGTGTGACAACGACGCGGTGGAGTTCATCTGGACTGATGACACCAAGAAGCTATGGATGATGGAGAAGGTCTGTCAACAACAGGATGGGTAAGTCTTGACTCCTCGATCTTGAAGAGAAAACATGCATTGACAGCGGCCCAATAGATCTGTACCATATGAGGCCAGTGGTAGCATCATTCTCAACGTCAAGTGTGCCAGGACTGGCGGCTGCTCGAGCAACTCGACAGACCAGAAGTCGGCCTTCACTAGCCTTCAACCCGTGAGGGAGGCTCCCCCTTCCTGAGAAACCGGTCCGTGATAAGGAAGATCTCGTGATCTTGAGCCGTGCAGAATCTGGTCTGCCTGATGGTCAGGCGGGCTACCTTGTCACTTGTACAAGACTAAAGTGGCCGTATGAGGATGGCAGTGAGGCGAGGAAAAGGCAGCGATAGTGTCCCATTAGTGCCACGAATGGATAGAGATTCAGCACAAAACTTCAAAGATGAGCAGCGCACTCTGTTTGTGATTTCTTCAAGATCGTTTATTCAGGAACAAAAGCCGACTTCCGCCTCCAACGTGAAAGAATGTAAAGTGGGTCTACAATCCGGGGTAGTGTACTCTCATTGACCACTCAGAGTGTCTCATTTGGCTCTAAATAGAGGGAACAAATGACGCTCCCTTTCTATTGGTCGTTTGTTGACCTAGGTAGGTACCGCCAATTCTAGTACATGTGCCGTATGACCTCAACAGTTTGAAGTATTATTCACGAGACCTGTCAACCCTGATCTTGACCACTTCATTTGATCTACCTGCTATTCCAGCTCTCATCATTATGTGTGTTGAGGCTAAAGTCAAACAGTCCTCAACACTTTCTCAATGATGCATTGCTCCTTTACCCTCATCCCGTCCACTCTCAATTCGGAGAACTTCTGAGTCGTTACTAGAAGGTGATTCTACAACGCAGATCGAGTAGTAGGGATCTTTCCCACTATTGAAAAGAGACCAGCACATTTATGGACGCGTTTGCAACTGTTCAGACTTTGCAACTATCAGCATAGAGCACCACGTTACACCATGCGACTCAGGCCCGTCAACACGATGAGAACACTGACTCTTCAGCTGGTTCTCATCACTTCATGCCTCGCCCTTAGCAATCCATTTTCAATACTCAAGCACAGCAGTAATGGTCCTTATATTAAGCCGTACGGCATATCCGTTCCCTTATTTGCAACACTCGAGCGTCTGTCGCGGCTCGTCGACATTGCCTATTGTATTGGCACCACAGGAGTCAGGAAACCCTTCGACTGTGTCTCGCGCTGCAGCGAGTTTCCAAATCTTGATCTCATCAATACGTGGAACACTGGCCCTTTGCTCAGTGACAGTTGCGGCTATATCGCTGTGGATCACGGTGTGAGGCAACGCGGTGACAATGACGCTTACATGGCCGGTGAGCCTGCTATCGTGGTGGCCTTCCGCGGTACCTACAGCATCGCCAACACGATTGTCGATCTGAGTACTGTGCCGCAAGAGTATGTGCCGTACCCATCTCCTGGCCACGACGGAGAAAGCCCGCCTGATGAACCGAAGCATCAATGTACAAATTGTACGGTGCACATGGGGTTCCTCCAGTCCTGGAAGAATGCTCGACGCCTCGTGCTTCCACAATTGAGACAGCTGAGGCTCCAATATCCTTCTTATCCTGTTCAGCTTGTAGGTCATAGCCTGGGAGGTTCCGTCGCTTGCCTCGCTGCACTGGAGCTCAAGGTATCTATGGGGTGGCAGGACGTCATAGTCACGACCTTTGGTGAGCCCCGAGTTGGGAATGAAGGGCTCGCCCACTTCGTCGATGAAGTCTTCCATCTAGATGGCCAAGATGATCTCGAGGGGCGACAATACAGGCGGGTTACTCACAAGGAAGACCCCGTGCCTCTGCTTCCTCTGGGTGAATGGGGCTACAAGTCACACGCAGGGGAGATATACATCGCCAAACAGGAGCTCAGCCCTTCTGAAGCCGATATTTACATGTGTATCGGCGACAACGATCCGAAATGCATCTCCGGGGCAGACGACTCGTTATGGATGACGATACGCCGCTTGTTCCACGTCAAGGGCCTTCTAACAGCCTCGGACAAATTGGCAGAGTTGAACGGATTCCCTTCTAGATTCAAGCTATGGCAACTGCTGTTTGCTCATCGGGACTACTTCTGGAGACTCGGCCTCTGTGTACCAGGAGGCGACCCTGCAGATTGGGGCAGAGGACGTTACCAAGCACCGGAAACGGAGGAGCTATGAATTTTTGAACTTATTGAGTTGGAGTTGGCAGGCGTTGATGACATGGAAAAGCCAGCTTTAAGATATCTCATGCATACGAACTTAATGGAT